TTTATTAATTGATTATGACTACTGTAGCTCTAATGTTGGGTTTCTTTTCTATAGCGTTAGTAAAGATTATCGTCTCTAAAGCATCTATTAGATTAATAATCTTCTAAATAGCTTTTTCTTCTTCTTATTTAATATTAATTACTTTGAATACTGGTTGTCTCTATAGTGCCAGGGGTTTTAGATTAATCCTTTCTAGGTTTTTAGTAGCTTTTAGGTTTAGCGTTTTAGTTACTTTAACTAGTGGAAACTTTACGTATATTCCTTTTCATACACGTCTTCTTTCTATTTACTTTAGAATGTTTTATATTAGATACTCTTTTAGCAGCGTGTATAAATTAATAATAGTATTCTACACTTATTACTTTAGTTAAAGATATATTAGAGAAGTATAAGATTCTATTTCTAGAGTTTATATTATAACTATTTTAAACACTAAGAGGGTCTTAAGTAGTGCTATTCTTTATACTAAGTTAAATACTCTAAGGTATCCTTTATCTTTATTAATATTATACTAAATTATTAATATATAGTCTATCTTTAGTATAACACATACCTAGTATAACTGTCTTATTTAGGTTAGATGGAGGTATTTAAGGCCTCTTATACTAAGTATAATTCTAGTAGCTCTTTTTATTACTTATTATACGTATTATTTTTATCTTATTTTCTAATTAAAGACTACTTCTAGAAGTTTAGCTGTAGGTGCTGCTTTAACTATTTTTCTATATATAAAAATTTCTTCTATTCCTAGTTCTTTTTTTTTTCTAGTTAGATAGATTAGTTCTGTTTTTTTAGCTATAAAGTATAAGCTAGTCCGTCTTATCTACTCTTTAATATATAGGATATTCTCTTCTTAAATCTTCTGAAGATTCTTTTCAGCAGTGGGTCTAGTCCTCTATCTAAAATAGTTATTAATATATACTAATATCTCTTCTTTAGTGTCCACTAGTTAATCTATAAGGTCTAAGTTAAAAAAAGTAAAGAGAATTAATAATAGAGGAGATTCTTAAGCTAGGCCTATATTCTCTAGAGAAGCTACTTTAGTCTTAAAGTTATTAAACTTAATACTTACTATTCTTTCTTTTATAAAACTTTATATTTATTTTCTTGCGATTACTGGGATACCGTTTTTCTTTAGATATATATCTAGTATTAGCTTATTAACACTATTAAAGGCCCTTTTAAGATTAAAAGTAATTAGTATAATTACTTTATTCTTAAGCCAGGCTTAATTAATAGCGTTAGCTAGAATTAGAAGTGCTTATTTTATTATATATTTTAGTCTTCCACTAAACTATATATCTAGAAATAGTTTATATATCTCTGTATAGTATAAGAAATATTAAGTAATTACTACTTCTAGTAGCTTTTTTAGTATATTAAGAAGAGAAATTAGCTAGTATGCTCTTAGCACTATATAGTCTAGTTTTCTAGACTTCCTTAAAATAATAATTATTACTATTTTCCATTTTATTAGGTAGTGGCCGAGGTTGGTGGATGCTTTAAAAATTCAGGTTATAATATATAATATATATTTTTATATTTTCTTTTAGACTAGTATTAGTAGGCTGTTGTTTTCTAAGGTAGTATTTACTTTTATAGCTTTTAGCACTCTTTTAATCTTTCTCTTAGTAATAGAAATCCATAGAATCTTCTCTTTTATTATAGTTATTACTTTAGGGGTTAGTTTGGCTATTTTTAGGAAGAAACTCTCTAGAAATATTTAGGTTTTATTATTATTATCAACAGCTTTACTGCTCCCTATCTTAAGAGAGAATATATTAATATAGCTATCTTTTAAGTTTATATACTTAGCTACTTTCTATAGACTTTCTAATCTAGCGTTATTAAGGAATTTCTTTTAGTATAAAACTTTTATTTACTTAATTATTTAGGTCCACTCTTAGCGTTTAGTCTGTATTTTTATAAATAATATTATTATTACTAGGTCTTTTTTTCTTTTTTTTATACAGCTCTTTTACTATTTCCTCTACACTCTATTAACTTCTATCTACTATATTTTAAGTTCTGGGGTGAATTATTATTTAGAATATGAAAATAAGTTCACGAGTAGTGTATACCTTTTAACTACTTTTAAGATAACTTAAATTAGGTCATTAACCTACTACTCTAGCTAGGCTATAGTTTTAATATTTTAGGGGTTATTTAGTATTATTTATATTATCTTTCTAATATTTTCCTATTCCGCTCTTTTAAATGCTTTATGTGGTTTTTAGTCTGCTTTTAGTTTTAATTAAAGATTCTATTTATAGTAAGTTACTTTATAGTTAGATTTATAGTTCTTATAGTAAAGGTAATATCTAAAGACTCTTTTAGGTATATCTATTAGATTTAGGTTGATAGTTAATTTTATTCTAGAATAAGATAATAACTAGAATATTAAGATTCCGCTTAGTAAGCACTATTACATTTTATTGTCTTAAATAAAGGTAAGTAGCTTTTTAGTGTGTCTTAGTAGTAAATAGTTAACTACTTTATTACTCTATATAAAGTAGTAATAATTGAAATCTCCTGTAAGTATAATTTAGATAGGTTTAGCGTCTGTTATAGCTTCTCTAATTATAGTCTATATTTTATCTAGCGTGGTTTGTATTAAGATTTCCTCTAATATTTATCGATAGCTAAGTAGTGGAATGTATACTAAGAATATTAGTAGTTTAGTTTCATCTGTCTAGACTTTTACTGCTGTTATGTCTGGGCTGTTATATTATAGCTAGCAGTAGCCTAACGTAGAGATCCGCTTATTCACGTATAGTAGGCTTTATTTTCTAATGTTTTCGTCTGTATATGTGGGCAGATAGAGTTGCTATTCTTGGTAGTTAACATAGGTTTTATACGTGGTAATCAATAGCTCCTGGATAAGTAGAATATCGAGGTTTTATATTTATTTATCGTTGATAAGGGCTTTTATGTCTGCTTTAGATTTCATGATGTTTAGCTATAGGGTCTGGAGGTTTGTTGTATTTATTATTAGTTACTAGGAGCTGTTTGGCTCCTGCACATACGGTCTCTAGTTAGGTGTGCGCCATTACAGTCCACGTATTTCGCTTCTGTATTAGGAGGGCACTCTCTGCGGTCGTGCTCCCTTATGTAGTGTCCACATCTCATCGCTTCACTGCAGGACCACGCTAGATGGCCTAGTTCCTGGTATTAATAGTATCGCTTCTTCTTGACTTGATACCGCTTGATGCTGCCAATATATCTCTGCCTAAACACCATTCCGTTGTTAATCGTCCATTCTGCTGTTTCTATCGTTTCAAACTATACTCCTAGGGTTGCTACCTTTCCTAGTGGTTTGTTTTATCTCTTTAGCCACGTGACTTCTACGATTTGGTGGCTTCTGCTTCCCATGTCGTTTTCTTCCATGATTTTCTTGATGACTTCTAATTAATCCTCTGGTAGGGCAATATTCTCTGTTGGGACACCGTGGACCACTACTCTGAAGCGTGGTGTAGCAAGTTTTGTACTGTTTCCTAGCGTATTAAGCCATGCGGTGCAGGACTTAGCTAGTTGGGTAGATTTTTCGTCTCTGAATCTGATCATGTATCCGGTCTTTGTTGTTCTAATCCCTGCTACCTGGACTTCTTTCGTCGTGTCATTATTCTGTAGGGCATTCCGGATGTGAGTATTTGCTGAGTCTGTTGGGAGGTACCTCTTAAATGCTTCGTTCTCCTCGCCTTCAGTGTCAGTGTTACTTCGTTGTGTGCTGATTCTGATGCTTTTTAAGTCCCTGCTGAGGCTCTCTTAGCTGGTTGTTCGCTTAAAGGTGGCTCCTAGTGCTGTTACGCTTTGGCCTCCTGCTGCCACTAATGCCCATGATCGCGTTGAAGGGAGTGCCACTAAAAGGGTGTCAAGTCGTGTCTTCAGCTCAAGGATCTCCTCTTTGAGCTCTGTATTCTAGTCCCTTAATTTCTGCTGTTCGGCTTTTACTTCTTGGATGATAAGGCTTTGCTGGATGATGATCTCCTTTAGGCTCGTTGTTAGTTGTAGGATCTTGGTGACCTTTTCTGCTTGGCTTTGTGATTTTTTTGGCTTGCTGGCTGCCGCTTCTTGTGTTTCTTGGGCCTTTTGGGATAGTATTCGACCCCGGGGGGCTGGTGGATCTTCCTGGGTTGCCATAAATGGGTTACGTTCAGGGGTTGCTGGGGCCATCGGGGCTCCGGGTTCCGCGACGCGTTGCCGCAGCGGCCGCTGAAGAGCGGGCCTGAGAGATGAAGTGACAATAATGAGACTAAGAGAGTGTCCGATAATAAAAACCTTCTTCCTGTAAAAGAAGGATATAGTTGTTTTTCCTTATCTTACAGTCGCTTGTAAAACCGGCTTCCGAGATTTTCCACGCGCCACTCTTGGCAATTGCCTTACCAATTTAAGCTAAGCGTCAAACAAGGGTGGTACCTGTGACTTCATCAAGTGGCGATCTGATGAGCTGCGCTACATGTGGCTCTACTGTCCCACAATCAAACGCTTCACACTCCTACATGCAATTCGGAACATCCACAAGTGTGTAGCCAATGCGGCTCGGCCCCCTTCCCCCTGCTAGTACGATCAGGGTTAAAATTCTGGCATACGTATTACTAAGATTTCTCGATTTTTACGGAGATTTAAGGCATCATCTAGAAGACTCTAGAAGGGAACTTGCAATATAAATATTCACTGTCGCCCGACCCCCTCTATGATATACAGATTATAAAAGAAAAACAATGATGAAGAGGTCTACGTAAGGTCTCTTACAGAAATAAAATTCCTATATCAATCTTAAGGAACGTAATAGAGCCAGAGGAATGACCTAAGCAAATCATATCTCTATACACTGCTGTACAGGTTGGTCGATATTCAGAAGGAAGCCAGAGTAGAAGTTGCTCTTTAAACGTCACCCACTGATCTGTTATAAATATATTAGATGGCACCCTGTCTTGAGAAGAAGAAATTCTAGACGGAGATAAAGAAAGAGGGATTTGTCCTCTATTAGTCTGCAGAGACTGGCCGTCTGGTGAGAAGGCTACCGCAGAGACAGAGTCAGAATGGCCTTGAAGTGTGCTGCGACAAGAACCCGTCGCTGTCTCCCACAGCCGCACAGTGTTGTCGAGTGATGCCGATGCTACTAGCTGGCTGTCTGGCGAGAAGGCTACTGCATAGACCGGGCCAGAATGGCCTTCAAGCGTGCTGCGGCACCACCACTCGCTGTCTCCCACAGCCGCACAGTGTTGTCGAATGATGCCGATGCTACTAGCTGGCTGTCTGGCGAGAAGGCTACTGCAGAGACCGAGCCAGAATGGCCGTGAAGCGTGCTGCGGCACGACCCCGTCGCTGTCTCCCACAGTCGCACAGTGTTGTCGAGTGATGCCGATGCTACTAGCTGGCCGTCTGGCGAGAAGGCTACTGCATAGACCGAGCCAGAATGGCCTTCAAGCGTGCTGCGGCACGACCCCGTCGCTGTCTCCCACAGCCGCACAGTGTTGTCGCGTGATGCCGATGCTACTAGCTGGCCGTCCGGCGAGAAGGCTACCGCAGAGACCGAGTCAGAATGGCCTTCAAGCGTGCTGTGGCAATACCCCGTCGCTGTCTCCCACAGCCGCACAGTTTTGTCGAGTGATGCCGATGCTACTAGTTGGCCGTCTGGCGAGAAGGCGACTGCAGAGACCGAGCCAGAATGGCCTTCAAGCGTGCTTTGGCAATACTCCGTCGCTGTCTCCCACAGCCGCACAGTTTTGTCGAGTGATGCCGATGCTACTAGTTGGCCGTCTGGTGAGAAGACGACTGCAGAGACCGAGTCAGAATGGCCTTGAAGCGTGCTGCGGCAAGAACCCGTCGCTGTCTCCCACAGCCGCACAGTGTTGTCGAGTGACGCCGACGCTACTAGCTGGCCATCCGGCGAGAAGGCTACCGCAGAGACCGAGTCAGAATGGCCTTCAAGCGTGCTGCGGCACGACCCCGTCGCTGTCTCCCACAGCCGCACAGTTTTGTCGAGTGATGCCGATGCTACCAGCTGGCTGTCTGGCGAGAAGGCTACCACAGAGACCGAGTCAGAATGGCCTTGAAGCGTGCTGCGGCAAGACCCCGTCGCTGTCTCCCACAGCCGCACAGTGTTGTCGCGTGATGCCGATGCTACTAGCTGGCCGTCTGGCGAGAAGGTTACCGCAGAGACCGGGTCAGAATGGCCTTCAAGCGTGCTGCGGCAAGCGTTCCAATCGTCTTCCACCTTTGATAGCCTGCTAACCCACTTTGGAATGTGGTCAGTAAATGTCTTTCGTATTATGCTTATCTCTGGAGCAAAAATAAGGGCTGAAGAGTAGACCTGTAGAGGGGTATCTTCAAGTATGGGTCGGAACCGTAGCGCAAATCGCTTCGCATCGCGAAGAAAGCTTGAGCTAGCACTCTTGTCTGACTGTGTAACAGGTGAGCACAGAGGCTAACATAAGAGGTCTGGAATAATCTTACATCTGTAAGCGCCTGTAGGCTATCGATTGTATAGATGCCTTTATATACTTCTCCCATAAGACTCATAGCTTCTAACCAGTAAAGAAAATACTGTTGGAGAAAAAGGTGAACTGAGTCACCATCGTAGATGCACTGCTTACTTTGCTCCAAATGGTACGCCCAATAGCGACAAGCATATCGGACTTCGGGTGGCAAATATTTGGCTATTGTCCGTTCATCGATCTCGCTTTTTAAAGCTCCGGGCATTAGGAGGTTGCAAATATTTTGCCTAAGACCTTTTGGAGTGGATAGTATTTGAAGACACTTGCTGGCTAACCTCTTGTGTGTTCCTATCTCATCCACCCAGAATGGGCTCTTTTCCTGCTTTTGAGGGTCGAGGAGAAAGTCTCGAAAGGACAGATGCAGAAGTCTTACTGGTGTATCCTCGTTTGAGATACTGAAAACAGAGTGCAGTGAGTCTAGCCGGCAGCTAACATCATCTTTGGGGATACTAAGGAGGTGTGCAAGTGAGGTAATAGATAGAGGACTTTCTAGAATAATAATACTCCCAACAATTTCTCTAAACCTACTTATCCATCTTTCTTTATCCTCATCTTCATCATCAAGCAGCTGGTTCAGGATAGGGAGATAAGTCTTATCAAGCTTTGAGGCTTTCGTTGTTTGGTACTGAAGTACGATATCCAAGCGCTCTTTTGGATACCCTCCTTTACCTCCGATATATCGACAGACTGTAGCAGCGAAGATGAATAGCGGAATAGCCATCTCAACTAGGCTCTGGATTTGATCCTTGGCAGGCCAGTCTAGGGACAGCGATCGCTGCGTTCTTATCTCCCCGAGCTCATGATCTAAGAAGACGGTTATGTCATGTTTAATTGTCTGCTTTGGTACCTCGTGAAGGATTAGATCTTGGTGCGTTCCGTTTGACATTTGTTTGAACCCAAGACGAATTGGGAGCTCTGGTCTGCTCGTTACAAAAACCCGTAACGACACTGGTTTAAGGCCCTTGGTCTGTGAAAGAAGTTGGAGGATTGCTCGTATATCTTCGTCTCGCTCGCACTCGTCCAACGCGTCTATAACGATAGTTAATTCTAGGGCTTTAACGGGTGCTGTCTCCGAGAGTGGCTGGAGAATTAACTTCTCGAACTGGTCTTTTAGAGCTTTTTCGGAAATAGCTGGTTCGGTATCAATTGCTTTCCTTATGCCTGATATCAATCCCGGCACATGACCCATTAAATCTGTAGCAATGGTGGTGAAGAACCTTGTAGCATTACCGCGCTCTCCCTCGCCTCTCTTAAAGAAGAAGCTGGCTCCTAATTGATGTTGGTCGGCAAACAACTGGGCAACAGTCCGTGCAATTGTAGACTTTCCGGTGCCAGCCATACCGTTCAGCCAGAATATAGGTTTGCCGTTTCTATCCTTCGCCCATTCCATTATATGATGCTGCAACTTAGTTCGAGTATTTGGAAGACATTTTGTATTGTGCTCCTCCATGTGAGAGTCGAAGGACGCTCCTTTGGCGACGGGTAACTCGGCTAACAGTGAGGGACGGGAAATGGTTTGGGCTATAAGAACACTGTTAAAATGTAGATAGCTACATCGCGGGAGCATTATACCTGCTAATGGCCTTAGTGAGGATAAGGCAGCGGCATGGTAGGTCAGCGTCTGGATATACCCACGGACCACCACTATTATCTTCTCCACCTTTCCATCATACCGAAGGCTACCAAATGCCTTCATGCTTCTTCTGGCCAAAGAGTCACCAGGCGCAGGTAGTGTTTTCCTAATCACATCGTCTAGCGACTTAATCTGTATTCCACACCCTTCCACGGCAGGAAGGAGCGCCTTCTTCGTCTCATCTCGCATGTATCCGCCATCGATCGCTGCTTTCGTCTGCTGGAGGGCATCCAACAGTGCGGGAAGTTCAGCTTTGATGTGGCGGAACGCTTCTGGGGTTTCTCTCAGCTCGGACTGATACTCTTCAAGACGTTTTAGGACGCGGGAGCCGAAGTCAACGATCTGGATTATGTTGGCGACGATGCCGACTGCGGTTAGAGCTTCCGCCATCTTATGGTAGGAAGTCTCACAGCACTTGAATGAGCAAGGGAGTAATTATATTTATAAGATGATGTTAAAATGCGAACGGTATTGGTCAGCGCTCTACCGGTATACCTGCGTTACAAAGAGTGTTGGAGTCCATCTTCAGCTCGACGAGGCCCGAGTATGGCATAGGCGCGGCTGCGGGTATACATTCAACCGATACCCGCTTCATCTTTACTACACTGTTCAGTATTAGTAATGACGAGTAAATTCGTCTCAAGCTTTCATTCTATCCGCGCTAGCAGGGGGGCGGCCACGGCGGTGCACTAATTCATGGCCGATGCCAAGAACCTCAACCCACATTAACAAGATCAACTCATCAACTGCAACCCAGCCTAGCTCCACCAAAAACAACCTTCCCTATTTCCTATTTAGACAATCAATCGATTGCAATTTATTTGAGCTCAAAATGGTGAGATTTCGTTGAGATATTACATCAATTCTGATGTCTCATACAAATTTGTATGGTAGGGAAGAATCCTTGGCATCGGCCATGAATTAGTGCAGGGGGGTGCGGCTAACCCGCACTACCTACACACTTGTGGATGTTCTGAATTACATTGTGTTGATTATGGGAGAGTAGAGACACATGTGGCGCAGCTCATGAGATCGTGTTAGGAATAGGTGTGGCTATACAGCACCAACAATGACCCCACTTCACATGAAAGAAACACTTCACATGAAAGAAACGGACAGCCAAGGGAGTTGACTCCGTAGAATGCTAAGAAGCCACTACTTGCCCCAAAGTATTGGTTGGTCAAGAACGATGTAGAACCCAATCTGCCCAGGAGACATAAAAGGGCATCAAGATAGCAGAAGAAAAGAAGAATTAAGATTAATATATACTACCTTTAATGCTGTATCAGTGATCTGTAACTCTAATCAATTTATTTATAATAGCTCCATGCTACTAAACTATCCCAAAAGGGTTTATAGGTCTAACAGTTATGAGCCCGGTACTCTAAACTAATTAGCTATATAATACAGCTCTAGATCTCTTACAAACCTTTTTAATAAGCTATTATCTTATTTCAATGAAATTATAACTAGTGCTAAGAATAAGACGATTAATACTAAAACCTACTTTCTAAGTTATAAGGACTAGAAGAAATGGTTCTCCCGCCTTATAGTTCTCATTACCCATAAAGAAATGTAGAAATACTTTAATCCTAATAATAAAAATAAATTAGTTTTAGAAGAGTTAATTTAACTTACCTATAATAAGTACCTTTAAAAGCTTAATAATAATACTTAACGCGAATACTAGAAGAGAATAGATAAATAAAAGAATACTAAGTAGTAAGAACTAAGACTACAGAGACTTACTACTTTTATAACTCTTAATAATAATTATTAGAGAACTCTAATTAAGTAATAAGAAGACTATAAAGTAGCCTTAACTAAATATAAGATAGATTATAAGAAGCTTAAATTAATTAATACCTAAATTAATAAGATAGTTAATGCTTTGTGGAGAGAGCTAGCTAGAAAAATAATTAATCCACATAAAGTAATTTAAGCCCTCTAATATAATATTACCTAGACTTAAGAAGAGATTATTTAGTAAGCTAGTAATACCTATATTAACATATTTCTATTACTTAATAAGTTTATTAACTTAATTAAGTGGTATAAAAAGTGGGATAATGTATACATAAATAGAGAAAAGCACTTAATCCCTAAGATATAAGGATAACTTATAATTAGCTAATTTCTCTATATTATATAAAAAGTATCACCTACGTTTATAAATACTTATAAGGTTAATATTATAAACGGTAATAGTAAGGTAACTATATTTAAAAAGCTAAGAGAACTAGCAATAATAGCTAATAAAGCTCTAAAATAAAAACATATATTTAAGCTAGAAAGGAAGAACTATAAGTAGATATAAAATATATTAACATAAGCTAAGGCAAGAGCTAAAAAGTAAGAATAAAAATATAAAACTATACTAGTAGATTAAAAGCATCCACCCACGTAACACTTAGTAATTAAAAATATTTAAAATATTTAATACTTCTAATAATCTAAATAATTTAAATAGTATTTAATATACTGAACACTAGTACAGAATGTACGCACGGAGGATCTACTATAAGTATAAGACATTAAATAGTTTATAATTACTTTTAATTCTTTATAGTTACTCTAAAATTAAGACTTATATTTTAAGTAACATAGTTTAATACTATTTTGTTAAATCTTAACTTATTATATTACTTTCTTCTTACTTTCTACTAAGTTAACTAACTTCTATTAAGTCTAATAAGCTATTTAATCTGGAAGTGAGGGAACTACTAAGTGTTATATAAATAATTAAACAGCTTATTACTAGTATAATTTATATTAGTAAGTTAGTAACTTATAATATTATAACTACCACCTCAAAAAAGTAAAAAGAACTATTAGATAGAATTCTAATAACTAATTATTAAATATTTATAATAACTTACTACAAAGACAAACAAGAACTTTACTTATTAAAAAAAAGTAGTAGTAAAGAAGAAGTTATAGTAGAACCTTTATTTATAACTAGAAGTACATCTAGAGAATAGAAGAGTATATAATAAGTTATCTAAAAATAAAAAGCAGCTATTATAGAGTTACGTGACACTTTAATAAACCTATAATAACAAATTAAAGCTAAATAATAAGCTATAATAGTTTAGAAAGAAAGGACGGTAAAGATACAACCTTTTAAAAAATTTAATAGTAATTAAGATAAACTTAAGACTTTCATGGCAGTAATAGACCTCTACTATTATTTTAATTAAAAATTATTCTTAATTAACTAGGATTGGATTCTGGTAGCTGGTATGAATATAATAGGTAGAGTAATATAATAGTTTAAGCTACTAGTAAGAAACTATCTAGCTAATAAAAATCTTAATCTAGAAGCAGCAGGGTTAGCTAATTATAATAATAATATATAATAAGTATTTAGAAACTATAAGTGTTTCAAGCAGGAAATAATTATTATTTTTAAAAAAATTAATAAAGAAACTAAAGTAATCTAGAAGCTCTAATAGCTTAAGTAATAAACATTAGTAGCTAATTATACTATAGAATTTAAATAGATTTAATCACGACTTAATTAGGTAGACTAACTATTAGTTATAATATACTATAAAGAACTAAAAGACAGAATTAAGGACGAAATTTCTAGAGGAAAACAGCTAAGTATCTTGTTAGAAATTATTAAACAAATAGTAACTATTAATAACTATTAGTACTAATAAGAATAAGAGAAAAAGATATAAGAAAAATTAGTAATTTATACACCTAAAAGAAATAGAAAAGATAACTAAACTTATAACCTAATAGACATTAATATTAGGAAAATATCTATTAAAAATAGGTAAGAAAAGTAAGCTAGGGAATAAATAAAATACTATACACATAAAGTCTATTTAAAATATAAAAAACAGAGACACTTTATTAAGAATTATAAATAATAATAATTAGATATTAAGAAAACTCATGTTTAGACTAAAGCGTTTAAAGAAATTAAGATTACTATAGTCTAAGTAAAACAAGCAAAAAACACTATAATAAAAGAGATAATTATAAAGAGAATTTAAGAAGAATAGTGCTAAATCTATAGAAGCCATATATATCTTAAATAAGAATATAAAATTCTGTATTAGTAAGTTAAGAATTATCTAATAGAATAACCTAGTAATATAATCACTATAATATAAAAAATAGCAGTTTAATAATACAACACGAGAACTAAGAAAGAAATATAAAGGTTTTATAAGATCATATAATAAGAAGGTGGACTATTCTATAAAAAAGATTAGAAATTCAGATAAAAAAAAAATCGAGAGACTATAAAGGGTAAAAAACTTATGTCTATAATAATTATACAGTGTGTATACTAGGGATACTGTTGGATATATAAATTAGAATATTATTAAAAGGAATATTATATTACTAAATACTAAAAAGTTACTCTAGAAGATAGAATATATAAATACTAATAAGTATTATAGTTAGCAGAAAATTAATAATATAAAGAGCTAAGTAGGCAAGAATTAGCCACGTAAATAAATAAGATATATTAATAAATATCTATACTAGTTATAATTAATGCAACATACTATCACCCCGTCGGACACTCAAAAATAAGATAAGATTAAAATAAAAAGAAAAAAGAAAACTTTTTATTAATATTATGAGTACAGGATAATAACGCTGTAAATAGAATAATAAGAAAAAAATACTAGATATATGTAGCTTCTAACTATATAGGAAAGAATTATAAATAAAATAAACACGCTATACATATTAAAGAACTAAAGATAAGAAAAATATTATAATAACTAGCAAATAAAAAAGAACTTAACCTGTAATAAGAACTAGTTTATATAGATTTAGAGAATAAATTATAGGACCTAAACTCAGATAAACACAAATAACTATTATAGAATAAGTGCTAGATAGAATGCTGATAATACTAAACTAAATACTACTAAAAAGAATAGTTAGCTACAGACTCACATAAACAACTCACATATTAAGAATATTTCTTAGAATAGAAATGTTAGGATTATAGAGAATAAGCTAGAAATATATATAAAATACTTAATAAAAAAGCATGCTAACTCCAGAGATGTCTAATCTATAGACCTAAAAAAGAATACTAAAGAAGTAACTACCACTTAGGAGTTAGTTATAAATAAAAAACTAGAAAACTAATAGACTATAACCAAGCCACTAAAGGACTAAGAACTAAAGATTAGAAATAATATATTAATTATATACACATAACTAAACTAGAGGAAACACGAAAATAAGCTATATATAAATATATATATTAATAATAATCAGACACTAGCACTTATAAATAGTAAAACTAGTAAAACATTTATATTAAATAAGTAAGTATAGAGATACTAGATACTAACTAGAGTTTTAAACAAACCTATATAA